GTAAGCCATTGCATATAGCACTGGTCTCCCCGAATGCTCGATACATTATTAGTGACTGCACAGGCGGCCACTCGAAATTACGCTAGGGGCCGGAATCTCTCCAGAGGCGTGGCACATCACGAGTGTAAACGAAGCGATATTTTCCGCTGTAGAAAAGAATGACAGACAACGTGCTCCGGTTCCCAGCGCATACAGCTCCAGACGTTCCCGGAGTCAATCCCAACGAAGTAGCACACTACGAGGCTCGACGTCTTACTCGCCGAGCTGAGCAAGGAGTGACTTCTACAGGTCAGGTAAACGTGGAGGAGGGGATACGGAGAGAAAAAGATCGATTTAACCACATTCGGTGATATAAGCAAATACTACCAAATGCAGAGGCGAATTCATCCACCAGCTCACTCTAAACTCGACAGAGCAGAGATTCCGTTGCTTGGAGGCGGTTACAGGCAGAAAGCTACCCGCAATCCCGTGCAATCAAAGACTCTCTACCCTGTCATAAACGAGAGCGACACACGCAAGCTATGCAGGTCTTGTAGAGCCACCCTTCAACGCATGTTGTGGGGATGTCGAGTATACCAAGATCGAATGGCGGTCTCCTCGGAAGATCTGCCGATGCTGTGGTCGGACCCTTGCTGCAAAGCTCAGAACTCAAGGACCAACTTTGGGCCGTCCAGCGAGCCCTGGAAGTAGCGCGGGAGCAACGGCTCCAAGCGGCCATCTAGGCGGCCTTCCATCCGCCGGATATTCAATAAAGTTATTTCATCATCATTAGTTGTCTCAATCGTCGGAGTGAAATTCAATGGTTACAATGTTGCTGGTATAAGTGCGGATATCCAGCATAGAGTTTCTTAATATACACTAGAGGGAACTCTGCAGGCGCTAGTGTCTATGGGAGCTGCAACGCACGTCGCTTCAGCGAGCATGGGAATGATGGGTAGTACACGAATTTGTCTAAACTTCGTACTTCTGACCTTATTTTGGCTCCGCGCGTGTTCGTGTGGCTTGAAGCTGTTTTCTCGCGAAACAAAAATCAGCAAATGTTCTGCGATTGTGCTTCACCACTTCATTCTTTTAGACTTACCTTTCCAAATTTGGTCACGAAGTTCAAAAGGGTTCGTTCTTTCTTTCAAAACAAAACCGAAACACAGCAATAAACGAAGCCGCAAGTATACGATTCGCCGCCCGCTAGTACGAAGACTAGGCAAATGTGTGTATTACCCATCATTCCCATGGTCGCTGAACGATCGCAGCGCCAGAGTGCCCTCTAGTTATTTTAGGAAACTCTATGATATCCAGATCGCCATATATATTCGTCATATATATGCTACCAATCATAACGTTCATCTATTACATGCCACCGTCATTACTATGCTGGCTGCCGTACACATTGGTACAAGAGAGAATGAAAGGCGAAAAAACTGAGAGGTACCGCTACGCTGATTCCGTGTTTGCGGCGCCTCTGCACTTCTAGAATGGACAACGAAAGAACACAAAATACGGCGAAGTTAGTAACGTGGGGGGGGGGGATGACCCAGCGCTGTAACATTTCGTCCGTGGCTACACCACCAATCGATGACAAAGTTACTTCTGCCTCTCTTCGCCACGTATTTCCACACGGCACAAACTACCACGTGACCGTAGCACCGCATGACGTGAATCAAGTACGTTGTAGAAAATTAACGTTCTCGGAAGGAACTGTATGAACCGAAAGCGATGTCTAATAACTGCATTCACCCACTCTGTGTACCGTGCAGTGCTACTATAGACGGGAAACGAAATGAACTTCGACTGCTAACTACTGGTAACCAGGGGTGAATCCAGTCACTCATTTTAGGAGGGCGGGGGGAAGTCGGTCACTTGAAGTAACACCGGGGAGGGGGGGCGTGGTCATTACTTTTTTTTTGTTTTTACGAGCACACAAAATCTGTCATGGCATAAATACTGTAAAATGTGGTCAAAGTGGTGCCACTCATTTGTCCTGATTGGCGACAGCAGGTGGACGTCAAGCACTAAAGAGAAGGGGAGGATGTGCCGACAGGCTTTGGGGGAAATGTAACTTAGAAGTGTGGCAGCTTGGGCTAGTTGGTATGGCATGACGATAGATATAGCGCGAGAACAAAACGAAGACACAGAGACAAGAAGGAGCGCCCGTGTCTTTCTTGTCTCTGTGTCGTCGTTTTGTTCTCGCGCTATAACTATCGTCACGCCATATCAACTAGTCCGAGCTGCCACACTTCTAAATTCGGGGGAAAGGCGATCGCCAGTACCCCCCTCTGTATCCGGCACTGCTGCTAACCACCACGCGACAGGCAAACAGATTTCCCTTCGAGACCGCCACGCATGCCGGTTCCTGATTGCCGACGGTGCTTCTCTTGGTTCGCCAAACGGGACGCATACATAGCCGGCGGGCGGAACGCATTCGGCAGGAAAAATGCGCGCGTGCGAAAGGAAAACGCAGAACAGTCGCGCACGTGCGCAGTTAATTAACTTTCCCGGCGATGTCTGCCGCTCTAACGCGTCCTAGGAGTGATTCACCGTCACACGGCTGCCGTCGTTATCTCCGGCTTCTTTGACTATACGCTTACGTAGCTTCAAAGACAGCGACTTGCTCGGCCTCTTCAAATCGCATTCTAAAATGGCGCGGCAGAAATACCACGACTTCGTCTGCCATAATTTAATTGATTGATATGTATGGTTTAACGCCCCGAAAAACCACCCACCATATGACGCCGTAGTGGAGGGCTCCGGAAATTTCGACCACCCGGGGTTCTTTAACGTGCACCCAAATGTGAGCACACAGGCCTGCAGCATTCCCGCCTATGTGCCATACATAATGTGAGTGGTTATAACAGGAAGATTAGAAAAATTCCGACCCGTAACTGTCTCTCTACGCGAAGACACCTCAACAGGTCAGCACAAGGGGGGTGAAAAATAAAGAAGGAAAAAAAAAGGTATATGAATAATAATAATAATAAAATTTAGGACTGCCATACAGTGCTCACTCCCACACTACCAGGGGCGCTATTGGGATTCCGGACATAGCCAAATTCTGTAATGACGGCACTTTACGCCAATCACTAGAGGTCAGTGCAACCTTCTGAACCAACGAGAGCTCACAAATTGGCGAATTCTACAGCACTGGCATAATTCGACAATGTCCGCGACCCTACGGTACAGAATAGCACCCCACACCACGGCCCTCTCCGCTGTGATGACATAAACATGTATTCAATAAGTTGTCGGCGCCAGGAGTAGCGTGAGAGAGAAGGCGGTTCTGCATCCAGCGGTCCAGGTGAATTTAACAGAAAGTTAAATTTGACGCTACGTCAACAAGGAGTACCTCCTTGGGAGCTTTGCGTATCTTACCTATAAAACTGCAACTTGCGCAGCGACCTGTTAACTATTTAAACTCTTACGTAACTCCTAGGAAGAGAAAACTAACGAACAAACACACACAGGTGTCGCTGTGTTTGTGACAGACGTACGCTACCTAAAGTAAGTTTAGTATGGAAAAAAATAAAACTACGCCTAGATACAGGACACGGGATGAAAGTAGTCGACGGGACCAGTCCTGTATCTAGGCGTAATTTTATATTTTCCACGTCTTACCAACCAGCGCCCCACCTAAACTGGCGTAAAACATAAATTGGTTCATGCCGAACATCCACCAGACATGGACAACAATACCCACGACAACAACGCATCATCGGTTTGCCTCGGACGTGTGTAGACCACCCCTGAATGCACTTCCGGCATCTTCGTTCGGCTCTAAATTGAGGGCGATTGGCAAGCAACGCTAACGTGCACATAAAAAAGCCGCAATTGTAACCTAAGTTTGCATCAACTGTTAGCAAACATCTTTCCACGCTCGAAAGGGCGGAACAGGCGCGAAAAAAAGTCCGCAATGATCGCAGCCACGGCGTTGGCTTACAAACAGAAACTTCTTCGCATAGGTGGATCATTTGTCCGGCCTTACCTGGTGGCTTGACCATCTCAGTTTCGAAAGCTACACAACTACTGTGTACCCCTCGTAAGCTTGCAGAAGATGACGATAGTTATAGCGCGAAACGACGACGGAGAGACAAGAAGGAGACGCCACAAGTTACAGAAGATGTCGCAATCAGCCTCTGACGAGGCTCTTAAAACAGTCGGCTATTCTATTTTCTTTGCTTAACGTAGGCGACCTTGGTGCGGCTTCGAACAACTCGGCCTTTGAGAACCTCCTACGCCCGGTAAGGGTCCCATCCTTCTTCGCGAAGAAGCCGGTATGCCGAACACAAGCCGCTCGCCATCACGACGTAGGCGCTATTTTGGAAGCCACTTCGGCGGCAAGCCCCTCCCCAGCAAGTTTCCTTCATCTACGCGGTATCGCGCACAGTTACGCAGAGTAGTACACTGGTACAGCGATTAAGCGACGGGAGGTCGCTAGTCGTCAGCGCTATTTATACTGCATGCACCTGAGGTTTAGTACGACGAGCATAGACGGCGGCGAATGTCTAGCGCGGGCGCAATTGCGCGATTACTTGGGAAAACACGACTGGGAGCCACCGAACAACGGGAAAGCGATCACTAAGCGCGTTCCTAATGCCGCTTAAGACATCAAAGTGGGGCCGCGCGGAAACCTTGTCTGGCGGCTGCACCGCCGCTTCCTTCTGCGCCCGGGACAATGGTTTAATCGAGGAAGCGGATAACGGCACGCACGCTTCGCATATCCTCTGGCGCGTTCTCACAGCCTCGGTCACGCTGCCATTTACGGAATCCGCACGAGACGCGTTTTGGAGGAAAAGCGGCCCAGCCGTGACCGCGGCGCACGCCAGATGGGGTCACGGTACGGTAAAACGAGAAGTTAATCGAATTAGCGCGGATTCGAAAGTCTGCCTCGCGTGAAAACCAAACCGCGCCGAGTAAGCAGGCCAACGGTCAACGTAATCGATTGTATGACAACACCCGCGTATAAGCAAGCACGTATTGACGATATTTTAGGAACGACGTGAACTCACGGAATCACGTCTCCAAACTTTCTCGGGCCAGTTTGTGCTGGGCCGGTGGCGCACTGCGAACAGCGGCTTGGCGTTGCTAGCTGCAAAGTTTGGCCACTTCGGCGTGGTAGCCCGACGAACTTGTGGCAATCGGTTGCGGCGGGCCGCCGCAAACACACTTCGCAAATAGCGACCACGCACGACGATGATTCTCCCACATGCAGCAGCTACAAGGCCGTGTCACTGATCCGGTGTACCGCGCGGGGCAGCAAAACGAAACGGAGTAGGTAATCCAACGCCACACAAGATCCGTGAAGAGGGCCTAGCGAAACGAGTCAAAACTCGTCGAAGCACCGAACACACGCACGCACACACACACACACACGTACTACCACTCCGGTAGGGCGGGCGAATAACTTTGGCTTCTGAAATGAACGGCGAAAGAAGCCGCGATGAGGGCGAGGAGATTACCAGCGGAAAAGGTAAAAAAACTTCTCGTTCAACTTCTCCCTCTCTCTGTGGTTGGCGAGACGCCAAGAGGAGCAGCCGCTCTCACAAGCCGAGTTGCAAGTTACCCTCTAAACCGTAGAGGGCGCCAGCAGCGCAGCGCTAAATATGTCACACGTTAGTTCCAAGGAGGCGCCACTTCCCAAGCAATCTTTTGAACATGGAGTCACGATTAAGTGACTACTGGTATGGTGGCTCTTTACTACTGGTAGAGAAAGGTCGTTCTACGCTTTATGTAGTTGGCAAAATGGTCTCCCTCGATGGCCATCTGTGCGTGCCATTAACGCAGAGAGCATGGTTAGACACCAGCCGACTTGAGGCTTGACCACAGAACGCTTGACCGCTCCATCATGATGATGTTGGCCGATGTTACATACATAGGAAAACGTACATAGCCCACAGTCGCGCGCCCAAGCGACAAGTCTGGCTCAATTGCGCACAATGGGATGTGACAGTTGCTGCCGATAGAAAAATTATATTAATAAAAATAGTAAGCCGCTTTCTAATTCATAAAAAGGGCAAAAAAAGAGACCTGGTAGCGTTTGGATTCGAACCCACGCCACAGACGAGACCACAGAACACCTATACGAGACTTTGACTGCTCACCGGTACTTTTTTTTTTTTTTTCGGTTCTTCGTCACGCAAAGGAGGTCAACACAGAATCGTCACGAGACACAACAAACATGCAAGCACGCATCTGCTGTCATTCACTGACAATCGCTGCATGAACATCGAAATACAAAACTCCTTCGCAGTAAGCAGGGTAAAGTGGTAGGCATTCTCTGGTAAGCAGGAAAGACGTGGAAATTTAAGGGCTGTTTTTTCTTTCTCTTTTTAAACTGCTAGACACAATATTAATGAGAACAGACAATTACAGAAAGCTGCAGGGAGTCCTTCCATGGCCAACCATGAAGGAACACATTTTTTAGTTTTTTTTTTCTATTTTGATAAACCGAGGAACAGTCTCTTGAAAATATTGCCTAGCTAGTTTAGGTCACCGTGAAATTCACCAAGCCAATCATTACGGTGAGGCAAAATGGTAAATTCAAATCGTTAGGCAAATCCATCCCCTTTGGCCCGGTGGTTGCTTTGTGCAACGGTGCGAGCGCAGTGCAATCACTCGGAAGTTAACAAGTAGAGGCACACGGAATAGCTTTCAACGAGATAGAACAGTGTTTGTGATACGAAATACAGTTATACAGTACGCAGTCTATACTGGCTGCGTGAGGCAGATAAACCCAGACAACAGGATGACGAGGAAAGCTATAGTGGCCAAGTGCATGTTACAAGTGTGCCTCACTTCGCGCAAAATGAGGTGCCACAGGTAATGCCAATAGAAAAGAAAATGAAGAACGGCCAGCCAAAACAATTTGGAGAAAAAAAATTTCTGGCAGCGGTGGGATTCGAACCCACGCCCCCGAAGAGACTGGTGCCTTAAACCAGCGCCTTAGACCGCTCGGCCACGCTACCACACAGCGCTGTCTTTCAAAATGGCGATAATAAGCCTACAATAAAATCAAAGCTAGTTTGTTTAAAAGTATATAATTTTAATAAGAAGTGTAAGTGCAACTATAAGCCACATTTACAATTATTTGCGAGTTCGCGTCAGTAACTTCAAAGCGCAGTCACTTCAAACACGTACACAACTTACAGCTTGGATGTTGTAACCAATGTTATGCTAATGTGTTCGAGCTCGATCAGCTGCAACAGCGACGAGCAAGCATCTGTCGTGCCGACACGCATATTGTACGGATCACTGTGGTACATACGCCCAGCTGATCCCAATCGTAAACAAACCGACAATTAACTGAAAACACAGGGACCAGGGAAGGGGCTGGACGTGCGCTCGTGGGCAAGAGTGCCACGTCCTGTACTTAAGCTTGAAGCTCATAAGTATGTACTCTAGGTAGGAAACTCTATGCTCTAGGGTAGCTACAACGTCCATACGCTATCACAAAGTTCCTGTCATACCGAGAATACATATAGTATCCCGTGTCAAGCTGAAGGTACTACCTACCGCAAGTAGTGGCCTTTGTGGAAATTTCGATGCATTGCTTGCACGAAGCTTACTCACCTGAAGGTCCTAGGGTCCTCACGGGTTTCATTATCTGTTTCTCTGCCACACCACAACGGACGTTTTCTGAAATTCGCCAAGTCGCAGGCTCCGTCGGAACACACTACTTCTAGCAGTGCGCGGACTTTTGCATACATCTCTGACGTCACTAGTTAATGCGGGAAAATCACGGTTGAGCCTCCACCTTCGCCTTCTTACGGCCGGAGACTCACGGCAAGTGGTAGGCGTTCTCTGGTTGTACTTTTTAATGCTGTGAATAGTAGTAACTAATAAAAAATCATCTCTCGTGTCTCTTCTGGGACGGCACCACCCACATGAAAGTCTCTCCGTCCGTGTGGCTGCTTTCCAGCCTAGGACAGCGTTCCTTCGGTGATGCAGTATCGCATGAAAGTGCTCATATAAACAGGATAATACATGTACATAAAAATATAAACGGCATAGTGTGCGGTGCTTACCCTAGTGAACGCAACTAGTTTATCTTAATCGCGTTGCCTTACCAAGGTTCAAAGTATTCCTCCTTTCTCAAATGCAACCAAAAAAACAAATTGCACACATTTGAAACCTATAGTTATTCTTTTATGTCAAATGGGAACCCGACTGACTGCAGAATAATGAAGTATTTGATTACATGCTAATTACAACTGAAACTCCTGATAACACGTAGCTTGATTTTCTTTCTTTGGAAGTAATACTGCTTTATTTATGGTACGAGAAGCCGGAAGAGGAGGATGGAAGGTTTCGATGAAAAAATTCGTAAATATGGGTTGTGTGCTCCAGCAGACAATTATATAAGTGTACATATAGCCCTGAAGACAAGTCCACTTGAGGTATCAGCTTGAGCACACAAAACCCCCATTTACAGATTTCTTTGGGCGGGCATTTGACACATTCATAAACAGTGCATCATAATTTGTACCTCGAGAGGTTATAGTCTGCCTTCATTTTATTTGTGGAGTTTGTCGCTTTACATGACAAAGGATAGTGGCCAATCAACAAAGCTCTCGTTTGGGCAGCGACCGTAGATTGCCAATATCTAATGCTCACTAGTTTGAAGTTTGGTTTATTTTGCCACACAAAGTACAAAAACTTCATATGTGGTTTACCCCCGAAGTTACCCCCAAAATGCACTTAAGTGGCTCAGTACAGAAACCAGAGTCAATGCTTGTTGTATGGGTGATTCAGCATGATACGGTATTAATGCTTCAATCATACTCTGCATACTTCTCTACATATTCTTTTGAGCAAGCCACACAGGTTAAGGGACGTTGCGATTTCACGTATCCTAATGCAAGATATATGGTGCGAATTACAAGTGCCCAGCCCTTCGTTTTGGTTGTGGTTTATTTAGTGCACTTGCACCGGCTAGCGGCAAAAGCGGAGCAGTTCCTGAATGATTTGACAGCAAGGCTAATGCTCTCGCACTTCGAGGCTCTCCAACACAATCGCAAGAAAAAGCACCATAGTGAAGGGGCGGTCTAGGGGAATGCTTTATTGTAGTTTCCAACGGAGAACGAAACTACTACACTGGACGACGGGACCACACCTCCTGAACACGAATGTAGAAAAGTGCACAGGTCAACGTCCTCGATGCAATAAATATGTGCTGCAAATAGGCGCAGTGAAGAGGGTCACAACAGCCCAGATATAGGTCTCGCTAACTGCAATGTTTTAGAAAAAGCTTCATTTTGTGGAAAAACACTCGAAAGCAAAGGAGACACAATCCGTTCTTCAATGCAACTTTTTTCTTTTCTCTCCTTTGCATTTTCCATGTACTCCGCACGGCAACATCAACACACGGTGCTGCAAAGTGTAAACATGCAAACCACACAGCCTTTAATCAGGTTCTTCGGTAATGATAGATTATCATGGTTCACCGCTGCAAAAACATTGCCGCGTTATTCTTCTAGCCCCACGGAAACCCTTTCCAACACAGACACGCTGTAACAAAAGGTGAACAATTGTCCCGGGCTAGCAAAAACCCAAGAAACGGCACACACATACACACGCACGCGGATTAGTTACACGAGTCGAAAAGGAAGAAAAGATTTAAACGAGAAACCGTTGACAACACGAGCAACCTCTCCACGTCCACGCACAACAGTTTGCATTGATAACATGGCAGCCATTTACAAATGCTGCTGACAGGAAACAGCAAATGTTGAGATTGGACTCGAACCTTCATCATTCAACCACTCAAGAAAAAAAATAAGCGGTGAGGTCGCTGTACAAGTGCAGCTAGGCAGGTACGGACTCCACAGCATCCGAAGAAAAACAAACTGCGCACAATTCTGTGCGGCATTTTTATATTAGGAGCAACAACGAAAATGCACTCTGCAAAAGAGAACATCGAGCACAAGCTTCTTTTTTTTTTTTTTTCAGCCTTACCAGCTAACGTGTAAGACATTAAGTATGTTGTAAATATTTGAATAGAACAGCCACTTGCATTCCCAGATGCTCTCACTATCCGAAACAATTCTTTTGAACACAATTTTTTCCCCCATAAGATGTCAAACGTGACATGCCAGCAAAATAAACTGATGTCCGCTACAAATCAATATCAATGATGGTCCTGTACATGCTTGGCAAGAAACAAATGATTGAACCATCACATGTCCAAAAAGATTATTCAGAACACCTACGAAAAAATAAAAAAAGGTGGGGGATGGTGATGTGCAGTAAAAGAACTTAGTTCAAAGGACAGATGTGGAAAAAAATGGGGGGGGGGGGGGGGTAGAAAGAAACAGAAAGAGAATTATAAGAAGTCCAGAGGAATAACTCACTTTACAGCTGTTAAATTAGCCAAACCATCGAGAATAGGAAGGAAGATTTTTGACAAAACTTAAGCAAATGAAACCGGACTATGTAACATTTTGTCAAAGTTTTTTTCGTTACAAAAACAAATGAAAACAACATGACACTTCGTCTACCCCTAGCACAATTATGAGGTCCACGACGAGGCTACTCTTCAATTAAAAAAAGAAAAGCAATACTCCAGATGCAAGGGATAAAAAAAAAATTCCTGTCCTCTGGTGGGGGTTCTCCTTTCGGAGCATCATGGAATCTGCCGTGATGAGGACAAGGGAATCGCTGCAGCCCATTTCACTCCTCCTTGGGCCTCTGAGCTTGCTGACCACCCATCGGGATCTTGGACTTGATCCTGAGCACACAGATGAGAACAACACTTTATCAAGGCCTCCTGAGTGGGATCTCTTAGCAGTAGATGGTTCACTGCATGGTACGTGCACAAATACCCTACCACCGCAGTTAGCACATCAAATTTTAATGGGGTACTGACACAAAAACTTCGTCCTCGCTTTTTTTTTGCTGCGATGTGTTGCTAGGGGCATGTTAGTGATACCACGGCACATCGTTCGCTGCAGCACGAGACAGATAAATACAGGCCCTTCACTATTGATCAGTTTCTGTTTTCGGTTTCAAAAAGCTCCAAAAATGATGAGATTCCTGGTGCAACTAGTGTATGCAGCTCTCAACCACGTCAGCACACAGAACCGTGACGCACTTCCGCATGGTACGCATAAAAAAATCCACTTGAATAGAAAACGGGACCGCAGTGTGACCAAACAAAGTTTTCAACGAGTGCGCCGCAGCCACACACTAGCGTCCAGCCGCCGAGAAGTACAGACTCCTGGAACAAACGTGGCAAACGAAAAATGGTGCCTAGGACGTAACTTGTTCTAGTATTGACTGCAGCATGGGACGTGAGAAAAAAGTAAGGGGATCCCTTTAGATGTTGTCAATACTGTCGAAATTCAACCTTCAAAATTGCTGTTAAATACCTTCAAAGCTACTATATTCACTGTTGATATTTTGCACACGATATATGCATATCCACGAGAATAGATCACACCGGCTATCTTGGCCGCGAAACTTTGTGTCAGTGCCCCTTTAATAAGCATCATCTCTCATCCCCAGAGATTTAAATCAACCAAAATATGCCACCAACACCACTAACTCCACCACACACGCATGACAATAACCTTTTCTTTACCGACAATACGGCCTGCGCTAGCATTGTGAAAGCTACTAGTTTTATGCCACCATGCAAACCGCGACTAGAATCTTCAACAGCTACTAGCGTGTAAAAGTGTTGCAACGCTGCGTGCACATTGCAGTCAAAACGCAGCAACTGCGTCCCAAACCCATTGTGCAAGAAACCGCTGCTGCCAACACCGCGATGATAGGCAGCATCCATGCAGTTCCAAAGCCAAAAGCGGCCTACAAGCACCAAAACAAAAAAAATGCCGCAGGTGCTGTGGAAGAAAGCTAGCTCGCTCGCTCGTGCATAATCACGAATGGCAACCACGCAGTTTTGATGGCATGAGGCGAGAAAGGAAACCGACCGTCACAGCCACTGTGGATGAAACTGCACTCGTTGTCACTGTATTAAGTGAAAGTGACCATGCAGTTCACATGCCCGAGCGAAATCTAGCCTGTAGAAGCCACTGAAGCCTTGGTTTTCAACTCGATAGTGGGCAACGCCCACATTTTCCTCAAGGCCTCCAACACGGCGTCACACATGGTTGTAAGTACGATAAGGCACATCATGACAACGGGTGGCCCCTCGTTTCCGCTGGACACAATTGCCGTCAGTTTTTTTCCTTGTGTGAGTGTTCCCATGCCCACAGTCTTATCATGAATCTCTGCCAAACTAGATCAGCTGTGTGTCATATAAAAGTCAGCAGTAACAGGCACTACAAATTTGCTAAATTTTTTGACTGCATAAAAGATTTAAATTAAGGCAACTACAGTAAAACCTTGTTAATTCGAAGTCACTGGGGCCGCGAGAAAGCTTCCAATTGAACAGGTTTTCTAATTAACAGAACATACAAAAAGTGGGATGCAAGAAACTTATAACTATTCAAACTAATGAGTGCTCGTCGTTTGCTGTGCCGGCTAGCTTGCGGCTCCAAAGGTTATGTAAATAATGACCAGCAATACCTGGTCTTTATTTTGCTGCGAACGTGGAGGAATGGTGGGCCTTGCTGCTGCCACCGAAAAAAAAAAAAAAAAAAGAAACGCGGTTGTGATCGCCTGAAATGTGCGCATGCAGAAAACAAGACATCTTCGCTGCAACACAGCAGTGACATGCGGGCAGCATGTTGCCTGCTCCTCTCTATATCAGCACATCATGATGCAACCATTCACACATTCTTTCTATTATATTTATAAATTTAATAATGGCCAGTATGACAAAGACCACGATGTGTTTTTGTTGGGAAAAAATGATCTTTGAAACTTTCGAACTTAGTTTTCGAAGTACGTGCTGCCGACGAGAACTCCGCCAGCGGTGCAACAACGCGAATTGCTAGAGCAACCGGCAATCGGAGGTTCGCATACATTGCGATTTCCGCTAAGCTGTGCTTTATTAATTTCTTTACAATCCCAGAAGAATCTGTAAACCATGACCCGCTGACAATGCGAGAAACATGCAATAAACTTCCCGCATGTCACCGCTGTGTTGCAGAGAAGCACGGCTCATTTTCCGCAGGCACACATTTTGGTTGACCACGAGACCATTCTTTCTTAGTTCTTTTTTTTCTTTTTTCACCAGAAGTAGCAAGACTGGGGTGCATCAGCTGCCACTCATTAGTATCGATACGTTTCATTGTTTTGTGGCAATTAATGGCCGTCGTTTCCACGGATTGGCGGCAAAATCGGAATTTGGAACATGGCACCCAACGTTTTTGAATTAACCGGACTGGTGCCGGCCGCCGCTTCAAATTATCCACTATAACATATTGAAAAATATGGGACCACAGAAATCCTTCGAATTAAGCGGGATTTCGAAATAACAGTTTGAATTAACGAGGTTTATCATAATTTCAAACTGCCGTTTCAGCTGAAGGTGTGATAAGCGCAATAATAACACAGTACAGTAAACTCCCGTTAAGACGAACTCTGTTAATACGAATTCTTGCTAAAGACGGAACAACATTGGAATCTTTGTTTGGTTTCCCATAAACTTAATGCAAAAAAAATCTGCTTAAGACGAACTATTTAACAGGCCTCTTCTGTTAAGATGAACTCCCACAGCGATTAACAACGACAGGGATTCCGTGCAATGAACACTATACTCTTCACGGGAACTATCAGGCAAACAAGAAAAGGCAAAATGAAAAAAAAAAAACATTTTCTGGCATAAACGCTTAAAACAAATCGAAAGCAATTTTTTTTTTTTGTGTCCCTGGCACTCGTGATAGTGAGTAGCGTAAACAGAGATCTTCAGCTACATGTTACTACGGGCTGAAAATGAGAAAAGATCTGAAACCTCAAAGAAAAGCTTGCGGACTTTTGTAAGCAACTTGGCATATACTGGCTATTCAAGGTAACAGTATGAGATCAAGGCATATCCAAAAGTGATAGCAAAGCCAGCAAGAGAGCCTCCGAGAAGGTGAACAGCTAGAACAAACTTTCCATTATTTAAAAGAAAATTGTGCTTGTCTATTTTTATCTTTTTCTGATCATCAAAATATAGTCCTGCTAGAGTTTTATTGTTAAAATGTGGTAGCGATTTATTCATAAGCATATTTATTACAAACTCGCGAAATCGAGCACTCGCTACATTAGTGTAAATACCCTACTTGAAAGCATAGTTTTTATGAAGCAGAGCCAAATGAATGCTTTTCTTATTCCTTTCCTCCCCACTGTAAATATACTCCATTCAGTGTTTTCAAGCAACATTTCGGGGGCATTTCTTGTGAGACTAACTCCCGATAAGACGAACAAATTATTGTGATACCTTCAAGTTTGTCTTAAAAGGCTTCTACTGCACAACTTCCTATAATGACATTATAATTTGGATACTTACGTGCCAATCACATTTCCCACATGTGTCCTGGCGAGCCCCAGGTACTGGTCAATCTCCGTCTGCATGATCAAATGTACATTCACAGTAAGCACTGAACACACGAGCAATAAAAAAAACTGAACGCAAATGTGTTCTGGTCAAGAAAGACAAACCTTGTAGGTTTCATAGACCTTGGGAAGTGTGAATGCAGAGACATAGGCTGCAAGAGAAGAAAAAAAAACATGTGCCATGAGAAAAGGTGCCTTAAAGTGTTGGACTTTTACCCAACCACACTTCGGCAAAGCCTACAATGCACCGCAAGCTTTGCAGAAACTACAGCCTGCACAACGATCCCGAACACCTTTTTTTTCGAAAGCCTCATTCAGAAAAACGGGGGCGCAATAAATATACGGTCGTGAAATTAACAACATTAGAGTTCTCAAGAGTAAAAACTCCCAAACTAAACTTAAACAGATTCACTCAAGCCTTCAAAGGGGCTGTCTACCGTCCTCCACTGCTTTTGTTTTTCGTGTCACAATTATAAACGTACCACCTGAAGCGCAACCTTGCAGCAGTTTGTCCGGAGAGTGTATAAAAATTTCTAAAACAATTTTTCAATCTGTGTTCGGTCTCCTATCCCTGAGATGAATGCCCACAATACTGGTGGTTGGAGGCGATAATTTTACTGCCGGTGAAAGCCGGAAACTCGAACTGCTGCAGTCCAGTTTCTGCTGGCTTCATCAAATTTTGTTTATTAATAAAACAAATACCTTAATAGTCATTTAAAGCACGCACACACTTTTTTGTCGTTCTTATGAGCAGCGACGGACACTGTGCTCGTGTTTCTACGCTAGATGCAGGTAAGCATGCAGACAAGCGGACAAACTACCGGCAGTGCCATTGGGCGCCTATTTGAACAAGTGAGGGAAAAAAAAAAAAGAAAGAAAACCGTCTGGCACAACCCAAACTTGCCTCAAGGGCATAAAACACAATTTCAAATGATATATGTTTGTTTTTAAGCAAAATGAGTGCACCTGGGAGAATTTATTGTCCTACCAGTATATTGACCACATCACTGTTTGGCGACACTAGCGGTAATTTTTTTTGTAGACTTTCAACATCAAGTGAAAATTACAATGTCTTTTTGTATGGGACAAAAGCAATGTGATGGACGATCTCATTTACTCCACCATCAGAAAAATTTTTCCGAGCAGTAGACTGTTCCTTTAACTTGCGTGACTAAATAAGCTGCTCTGCGAGATGCTGCTCACCCAGAATGATGAGGGTCATCCCATTGAACCAGGATCCCACGTAGGTCAGCACCCAGAACAGCAGGGCAAGCTGAAAGCACATAAACCATTCGCCGGTTGGTTACTCGTCTCGCGACAATGATTTTCACACAGCAGGCGCTCACACAGCAAGCCAAGGTGAGGCATCAGAATGTTGCCCATCTGTAGTCAAGACTGCCAGAAATGTGAGCCAAGTGATGCTGCACCACATGCAGCTGGTTTACATGAAAAACAACGAAACATTGCTTGGTTGAACCTGTTTTTAGCAACTTATAACAAATTTGAATTTGCTCTTTCATTTGCGAAGTTATGCGACATTGCTGGAGCACTGTGTACAGTCTTGGTGGCTGTGCATGCACCACGTCAAATATATACCACGCATGCCTTTATGGTAGCGCCATATGCTTCCACTTTGCAATTATGTCTGAACAAGTAAAGACACAAGAGCACAAGGATGGTGCTAAATGAAAAAAATAAAAAAAGTTGCCTAAAAAAAATTTGAGGGTGAAGTGAAGAGTTGGTTAGTGAATAATTTCAGATAAAGCATCATGTTTAAAATATAATGCATCCATATATTTATATTTTAAAAATCAAAATTTGTATTATGACCTAGCTTGCACAATATAAATGAATTTTTACTAGGCTTGCATGAATAGTATTTCTCTAAAGCAAAGCAAAGCAGCAAGGCAGTATGGCATATTTGTAAAAAAAATTGTAGCCCAAAGAAACAGGACACAAGAAGGCGACAGAGAGAGACAAACCCACACACAGTGCTAAGCAAGATTTGAATGATAATAAGCTGCAAGTTGTAAGGGCTAGAATATGTCAACATCTAAAATATACTGTACCCAGCCCATATTAACACTATCTAATGTGCTTATAAACTTTGCAAAAGGAAAAAAAGATAACGATCAAGGTGCAGGTGATGTGGCTTGGGAGTAGTGTGGATATTTACCAGACTGTGATGGTTTCACAACAAAGAGGTATCATGCTGCAGTGAAGCCACCTTTTCAGGAGGTTACATGCAGGGAACTGTGTCGATATACTCGTGTCAAATACAGCCAAACCGGGCTACTGTGAAATAGCGAGCAAGTGCCCCTTCCTACCGAGGAAGATATTTTTAGGGGTGGTTCTTGCTCGTTTGCAGACCAAAAAAATGAAGACAGCGGCGGAAGAGCTGCTAAGAGTATAGAAAGCACATTCGTGATTCTAATGAAATGCTTCATCGAACATGCATGCATTCAATTTTTAGGTGCCCTCGTCGAGATGCTAATAGCCATGAAAGAAACTGTGAAAAATGACAGAAAGAAGGGACGGGGCGACACTTGCTCGAGATTTTACAATGTACTAAACTTGGGTATATTAATGTTTTATATCAATGCGCAGAAAAATTTCCAGCTACATCAAACACATAAAGCTGGAACACCCGACATACTATGACCATTGGCAGAGCAAAACACCTCAAAAGCTGGCTTTCCTGAATAAGCATTCTGCTTTTCCTCACGGTAGGGGACTTTCATGTGCGTGCTTGGAGAGAGTGAGTGGTGCAATCATGAGGGTTCCACACAGTGCAGTGGAGACTACCGCCTGGCAATACGTGCTTTTTCCCACATGTGCTCGTCATCGCAACCATCGTGTGGGGAGTCGCACCGCCCACTTCTTAGTTCTTTTTGCTGTTAATAAGATGGCGACAGCAAAGCAGGGCTGTTCTCTGCTAAGTTAGCAATAATCAACACAGTTGAACGTACAGAAAAGCTGGACTTCGTCGCTGTGCATCAAGAAACATGTCAAATATAATATAAAAAACAAGGCCAACTGCAATGGCTACCGGCACCCGAAATGCACATGCGGCTGCATAAAAAATGTTTAGCTACCACTTACAACAATACCGTACTTGCTCTTCTAAAAGACACCTCAGCATATAACTCACACCCCCAACCACAAAAAGTGAATTTTTTTTTAAATCACTGTGTATTGCCAGTAAGTTGCCTTCCCTGCAGCACCATAAAACAGCGATGTGAAGCCAACTTAGACCTAAAATTCACACCTAAAGTTTTATATTTAATACTATTTATCGAACTAAATCCCACATTTTTTTTTTTTTTCGGTTCTGCGAATTCAATATACACGACGTCCTCTGTACTTTGAAATATTTTTAAATCTTAAGTTCACATCAAGGTGAATTCAAGTACTGCAATGTTGGTTAGAACCATAGAGTTTTTCACAAACATACCTAGAGGGAAATCTGGCACTAGTGAGCTGCTGGGTGCAAGGAAATGACGGGATATGTGAGCTTCGAACTTGACTCGGACTTGGCGCGCCTCACAGCGTTGCCTTGACGCATGCATGTATGAGCATGCTCAGAATCCTCAATCATGAAGAGGCGCAGATGAGGTGGAGTCTGGGTAACGCCGCCGGTGTGAAATGCAGCTTGTCACATCTCAGTGACAGACGCCGACTGCGTCAGTCACGCATGTCATCAGACCCTAGAGTGCTCGCCCTCTGCTAACATGTTGCTGTTCGAAGCGCACACGTATGGACATGCCGTCGGACTGTACAGCGCTTGATACCCTACATTACACTTCACCGTGCCTCACGGTCACGCCATCTTGGCATGTTTCTCAAAAGTTCACCCCTCGACATCCACTGCGCTCACCTTTCACAAAGCACGCAGCCCCTCCCTTCCCACAGAAGCTCATTCTCGCCGAAGTAAGAGGTCACGTGATCAGCGCTACCAAAACGCCAGACATGAAAACCTTGGCTAAGAACAACGTCGCTGTAAAAATATAAGCTCCGCCCACAGAACAGCTGCGGACCTGTCCTTGACTTGCAAAAAACCGTCGCGTTGTCTGGTTTCCGCTCAAACTGTAAGCAGTAGTTTTTCTCGGCTAATGTAAATACAAAGCATATCAAGAGTTAGAGCTTTATTGGTATTACCTGAAACATTTGGCTGAGCAGCAATGTCAGGATCTCTAATAAAATTTGCAAGGATGTACCATTTTCTGGACGCTGCCATCTTGGCTTGATGATGCTGCACTTTTCTATCAGTATCAGATAGACAGTGCTACGGTGAATTTGCATGCACGAGAAGGCTTAAGCCGTAACATTCAACGTTGCATGACCAGGACAATTTCATATTATGACAAAAAAGTGGCAAAACATATTCGGCAGATCTGTCGAATATGATCACCTTTGATCCCTTATCAGCCTAAAATGAATCGAAAATTAAACTGTGTATAGAGCCAGCAACACTAACGTTTCTCTGTATGGGAAAGTCTACCTCAAACACCCGAGAAGCGCTTAACGTCACAAAAATGAGCTCACTATCAGATGGGGGCATCGTGAGTAAATTATCTGTGGGAGGGAAGGCGACGGCTGTGGGCAGAGCTGATATATTTCTTTAAATAATAATTTATACAGGATCTAACGTCCCAAAACCACAAAATGAGAACTTCATTGGGGAGGGCTCTGGAAATTTTGACCACCAGGGGTTCATTAATTAGCATTTTTATCACCATAGAAAATGCGGCCACCCCGGCCAGGATTCAATCCCTTAGTTGTTGGTATAACAATAATGCAGATTTTAGGTTTTGCCCTGTGCCAGTTAACGACTAAGGACAGAAATGAAAGAAGTGTGACGGTAAGGGGGAAGTATAGAGAAATACGACAATAAGATTGGCACTGAGGTGGCAAAACACATTGCACAAGATAAAATATAGAACACAAAATTCGTTCATTGCCAGCCTATTATACATTGACTGCAAGATGACAGCCTGTCCCGATCACCTCCAAATGACCCTTTCATGTGTGGAAAGGTTCCATTTTATGAGTGAAAACCCCTTGAACCATGAATTGAGACAATACCACGAAAAAAAAAAGATTGCCTACTATATCGGATAAAACATGTTCCTATAATCGAGACTCTACGGTACTAAAATGCCCTGTTGTGACTAGCGACAACTGCCAATGAATTGAAACAAGGCGATGAAGGGGCTTTACACGACGACAAACATTTGCAATGCTGCTGCTAATGCGTATTATTGGTTCTAGCTGTGTTACCGTGCACTGGCTCAATTTTATTCTTAAATTGAGAACTTGTTCACTCAATGTCTACATTGCGAGCCTCAATATAAAGCAATGTGCACCTAAAGATCCAGGCAGTGCAAGGCATCCAGAAGGAAACAATGCGTTTATATTTACAATGTATGTATAGAGTGTGGATAAGGAAGCAGCCCGACGCTAGATGCCCCGCCTTTTATAGGCCACCGAGACGCTGAAGGAGAAGGGGGCAGCCCCGCTGTTGGACATATGCAGCGTCTTTTGACGGATGCCTTCGGTGTCTGTGCAAAGTACACCAGCCCGCTCATAACAGTGCGAATTGATATGTTTGTCTCTGCACTAAAGTAGCGAAAAAAAACTTTTGGCACCCCTCCCATACAAGAGCAAATATGCAGATGAGTCCAACGGCGGGACCTCTTACAGTAAAATCTCGATGATACGATTACGATTGATGCGAATTCCACGATGATACGAATTTTAAGGTTGTTTCGGATGGACTACATTATATAAAGTAGACCGTGATTCAGCGTTATACAAATGTTTTCCCCAGCAACGCGGATGATTCGAACACACGATTGAGTCCTGCACTAGAATCTCCTTCACTTCGCCACCGAAAAAGTGGCCACAAAACCAAGCCGCGAGGCCGACACGAAAAAATCTGTCAGAAACCAATTTCGCCACCACGCAATAGCAGTTCCCCTTTCTGCTATGGCTTTGGGTACACGGGCTGTGCTGGTTCTCGAACCTCGTGATGTAAACAACCATGCAACCAGCCGTATATTCAAGATGCTGGCCAACGCGTCGACGGGTGTGTAGGCGCAAACGTGAACTACCCGCGAAGCACAACAAAGCTCACGGCCTTGAAAGACACTCGTTCATCACGAGCCTGGTTTGAACTGCGATCGCTGCAAACGCACGAAGTAGAAGAAGGTGCAGCAGCAGATAGTTGACATGCCCTAAACATGTCTCTTCTGCACTGCCGGTTGAATCCGTTGCTGCCATCGCGTCTGCTTGTGTCATTTCTTCAGACGTATCTCCCGCAACAACGTTTGTAAAGGTGTAAACCGTTTTTTTTTTTTTTGTTCCAATGCTTTGTGCATAACTATAACTATGTAGGGATTTTAATTCTCAGGATTCAATTCTCAAGTGGCAAAGACGGCGGCGTGTATACGAGGGGCAGAACCAATGTGAACATTTTCGATGGGCACGTACGAGGTTTTGCGGCCACTTTGGCAGTCTCGCTTGAATTCTCTTGAACAGATTTTTTTCGTATCGACTTCGCGGCACATTTTTTTGGATGCTTAAGCAGCGAAACGAGTGAATTTTCAATAAGTTTTGCCGCTTTCCCTCCCTTTGGTGCCTAGTGTGAACGCGCCTTATAGCGCCAGCAGCACGAGTGAGGAAACCGCGGCACTTTATTGAGAGGCGGTGGAAGCAGTAAAGTTCAAAAAAACCTCATGGACTTCTTTTAGCAACAAATAGTGGACCCCAATAAAGTTCTTGTTAACCTTCATGATCAGCTTTAACTTGTTTTTGGTTCATACGAATTCGGCATAATACGAATATTTTGCGTGCTCTCTTCAAATTCGTATCATCGAGACTCTACTGCACCAAAATGTCCGTTTCTGACTAGCGACAACTGCCAATGAATTGAAGCAGCACCAGCAGTGCCTGGCTCACAAGGCGATGAAGGGACTTGGCACGATGACAAACATTTGCAATGATGCTGCTATCCACTTTTTATATTCAAAAAAGGTTAAAAATGTCAAAATGTTAGCCACAACTACACTCCCTTACATGAAAGCAGAACATTGAGTGCAATGAACAGTTCATGAGGAGGACTACTGGCAATGTTACCGATTCTCTGTTGCTGGATGAGGAACTAGCATTTTTTTTAGAGGCTTTTCAGACTGAAAAATACTGCTTACAATATATTCTTGCACTTTTGAAATCTACCACAGCACGTGTAGCCACTACCAAGGTGAAGCTTTCGCTGCACAGTAAATAACCAAGTCCGGAAAAATCGATAGCCGGTCCCTTTACTTTCATCACCCCACCGACACTTCTGCTGCACAAAGCTGCATTTCCGATCGCTTGTACCCACACTGTCAATCACTCGAAAAGCTGCAGACAGACAGCGTGGGCTGACCTTTAGTGAGTCCACCAGGTCCTCAACCAGGAAGAGGCTGCGCAGGCGAGCCACCGTTGCATCGACATGCTTGATGACCATGTCAACAGTCTCGTGCACGCGCTCCTTTGGCAGCGAAAGGTCCTTCTCCAGGTACTCCCTGCAAACAGAGCCCGGCATTACACCACAAAAACCAAACTTTGGTGCAAACACCAGTGGCCGTGGAAAATAGCACACACACCGAACTTTGGAGCAAGTGCCAGTGGCCATGGGAAATTACGTGCACCAAATAGTGTGGAAACAAGTGCTCATGGGAAACGGTTCTATTGAAATGCAAAAACTGTACACTGATATTTTTCTAGAATTTAAAATGGTCGGTCACTCCTGGAAAATAATCACTCATTTGCTTAGGTATAACACCTTCTGTCCGAAAAATGGCCTTTTTCAAAAACTATTTACATTGTTGCCCACCAGAAATTGTGTATTATTGGTTCTAGCAGTGTTACCGTCTACTGGCTCAATTTTATTTTTAAATTGAGAACTTGTTCACTCAATGCAACTTTCAATATCTACATTGCGAGCCTTAATATGAAGCAGCGTGCACCTAAAGATGTAGAACTCATCAGCAAAATACCATTGCACCAAGACTTACCCCCGTATTCTAGGACTTCCCTTCACTCAACGCTTCACCTTCACTTGAGAAAGCCGATGGGAGCGCCATCTCTAGGTATGGCAAGTCACTGCACATTAGCGATAGTTTGTTGCAATTCTTGAGTAGCGCAGCGTCATTTTCAGCCGAGTGGTGGCGCAGTGCTCAACTCTGTCAAGTGAAGGGTGAAAGTCGAGTCGAGGAGCGTTTGTGAATACGGGAATAAGACGCTTGTCGCAGAAAGAACGCTCCTGTCCTCCAAAATAAACATTTACACTACCACATTACAGGCCATTCACTGCTTACTGTGGTGGTTTGGCGTATATTGTGCTGTGCCACAAAGCTAGGAAATTTGAGTTCATTTCACGACCACAGCAGTCGCATTTCGAAGGGAGCGAAACGTGACAAAACGCATGTACTTGGATCAGGTACAACCTTAGAGGGCAGTGACATTTTAAATTCAAAAGCAGATGCAGAGAAGCTTGCACCAATGAGCACACGCTCTAAACCGATGCCATAAATAAACTGCACAGTCAGTGAGCCTGCCACAGGAAAATGTCACCAGTAACATGAGCAAGACTATTTTATTAGAGCAAATCGGCTGTCGCCCTTGTTGTTTGGGCTAGACCACTCCTAGATTCTGAAGCCGTACCGCACAATAGGCAGATGTTCAAGAAACTCTGGCGTTAGAGATTGGTTCACAGTATCCCCTAGAGAGTGTCTCAAATACATAGGGTGGTTTTGGCCTGCGAGACCCAAGAACGATCACTACACAGTTTGTTTCATTACCGAGGCACAACCGCAGGAAACGCCAATCGTTTGCTCACTTGAAGGGGTGTCCCTCAGAGGATTTCTGGACCGCCTGGAGGACGTTGCGGTAGACGCGGAAGGCGATGGCCACCATGAGGCTGCCCAGGGCCAGGTAGGCCACCACGCTGATCAGGGAGAAGCATGTCAGGGAGAGCAGCACCGCCAGCACCAGCCCAAACACCAGGCCACTCTTCTTGGGCTGCCGCCAGTACACCAGCTCCTCCACTGCAGACGGGACAGTTTGTGTGAATTATGCTGTAGTTTACCGTATGTGCTGTGGTCTTACAGTGTACACGCCAAATCAGACATGAAAATCATGAATGACGTAGTCGTGCCCAATAGTCTAACGCTCCTCAATCTGCGGCACACCGAACTTCACATACTTCAGACAACTTGAAGAGACTAGTTTAAAAGACCTTGGAACACTTCATAGGTAAATATAAACGGCCAACTGCAATCAACTTTCACTTTGGCTAAATAAGCAACAAATGAGTGGCTACTTAACTTTTCTCACCAAAGGACCTTAAGTATTACTTCAGCAGATATATAACCCATAAATGGCTGTTAGCAGACTGAACGTCTTTCTTCAAAGACGTTCACTTGGAATGCTGCGTGCCTGTGACATGCATTGTGGAGCTCAAGCCATGGCACCATGGTTCTACACCATTTTCTTACTAGCTACAATACCAGCATTTCATTACAGGGTCACTATCTAAAATCGTTCATTGTATTAGATGTTTTAACAGAACTGTTATTTTCAAATGTAAAATTTTTGCACAGACTGCTCTATAGCATCTACAATGTCTTAAACCAAGCTTTGTTTGCCGTTGTTGGCCTTTAGGGGAATTATAGGGAGGCAAACAAGGGTAAGCTGGAAGGATAACCATAGGGCTTCTTAAAATTACAGGGAGGTAAGCCGGCACCGCAACACTTTACATGCCCGTGACTACTGGGGTGTGTTTGACTGGCACCTTTCACTAAGAGACTGGACAAATCGAAGCCAAGTTTCTTGTATTACAACAATTAATTTTTAAATAAAGCAGCATGTAATGAGCTATTTTTTTCTTCTTAGCGTTGCACAGAGATAAGTTCGGCTTAACTGTGAGAGCTTCTGTTCTGATTTACAACTTGATAAAAACCAAAACGTAGGGAATGTCCTATGCGGCAGAATGACAAGCAACAATGCCAGCCTTTATTTTACAGCAGCTTGTCCTTTTGTTCCTTTAGCTATTCGCTTGTGTACTCTATTCTGAAGTGTTTTATACATACAAGTAATGGAGGTCTGTTTATGAAGGTTTTTGTGTTATAGAAGCGTTATTTGTGCAGCTGTATCTTCATTTTGAAGCCACATCCCGCTCAACACCAGCCAACAAGCCTAGCAGGCACATATGCAGCCATTCCCACAATGGGACAATACCCTTTGAACCGGCACAGATGTTAGCACCGCCCTTTAGGTATTATTGTGAGAAACACTACGGTTAACTGGAAGGGAAACCTTGGACCTTCTATCATAAAAGGTCACAACAGGAAGATGTACACCTCCCTGCAGGTTAACCGCATTGTCACGGTGTATGTAGGAAATCACAGTAGTGTCTTTCTATAAAATGAGCCTTCCAGAGAGTTTGAGACTGAACAGTAGGGTCTTGCTACAAAATGAGCATTCCATAGAGTGAGACTGAAAAGTTCGAGCAATACCAGCCATAAAAAAACCCCAAAGAAAATGAAATGACAAGGGGGCACACGAGCTGAGAAGAAAGAACCAATTCTGTCAGAACTTGGCCTGTCTGCACTGCGACAACACAAATAAATACTGTATGCAACTGGTGAATAGTGACACACAACATTAGTTTGTTCATATATGATCACAGATTGAGTAGAGTCAGTTGTGATGAAAGTTCCAACTCGGATTTGGACAGGATGTTTTTGAGAGAGAAAAAGAGACCCATTCCCCAATAGAATAAAATTGTTTGCTTCCACCAAGTAGATCCCGCTCACAAGGGTTGCATGCGGCATGAGTTCATAGATGTGATACCTGCAATGGATTTCCAATAACAGGCTGTTGGAAAAAAAAGTCACCAGAAGTACCTTTCGTTTACACACGCCTGTATAGTGGGTTTGTATAAGTACAGCCTCGGCCACATCTGTGTGCAGCCGGTTTTTGCTCTGCAGGGTGACACCTTGAGGCAGTTTCAGGCCCCAACGCAGTCAGCCCGACTACTAGGACGCGCATGCTCCCGACATCACACCATAGCCCCAAACTGCCTGGAGGTGCTGCCCCGCAGAGCAAAAACCCACAGCTCGCGTGCTCTGCACAGACGTGGCCACGGCTGTACACTGCAAAGCAGACAGGCTTTGGAGAGATGCCAGATTACCAACATCTAACTAGCTCCTGTATGTTTAACAAACACGGCCTCCGCACAATCAGATTTCGACCATGCTTCACCGTGCCTCGGAGAATCGCAAGATTAAATGTAATTACACTCGCATAGAGCTCCGATACCATATGCACCGATCGAAAATGCTTAACTATAGCAGTAAAACTATACATTAAAATCATCCCAATCTTGCTTAAGCCCCGATTTATCTAAACTTTGATCAATCCCTTTGACAGCCGAGTATGAGGGCAGGGGTTCGAGTCTCAGTCACAGCGGCCGCCTTTCGATGGAGTCATATGGGTGAATGCTGATTAAACAACATACAAGTGGTAGAAATTAAACAGGAGTTCCGTAATGCAGCATGCCTCATAATCATATGGTGCTTTTGGCAAGTGAAACTACAGAATATTATTATTTTAGCAACTGCCAACCCCCCCATCCCTGTATATCTGAATGTGCTACTCCCGACCTCGATTTAACCAAATCGCTACACGTCAAACGGGTGATCTACATTTGAAGTGCACCTGTAGGTCGAGAGACCTAAAGTGATCGCAGCACACCAAGTCGAAACGTAGACGAGGTAAAAATAAAATAAAAGCAAGAAATTAACCCCAACACCTTGGCGACCCGGTTGCACGCACCACATAGTATCACACAGTATCTCGACCTTTGCTGCATCAAGCAACACTGCACAGGTGAAAAAAAAAAAATGCGAGAAGGAAGAGGTGGGTGGGGGAGCCACAGCAGCGCCAACGTGCGTCCAACGTGGCACACGTGTTGGCTCGATTGGACGGCGACGCGTCCGCCCAGCGTCGCACGCACGGATGTGTCGATTTTTTTTTTTCTTCTCGACGAACACACTTTACATATATACATTTGCCACATTTTACAACTCACGACACTCCCATAGAAACACAACGCAATGCGGAACGCAGCGTCTTACCCCTAAGTCAAAACACCTGGTGTAAAAAAGCACGTCGCTAGAGACCATACGGCTAGCGAAAAGACCGTAGAGTAACAAACGCTTCAACGCCATCCGGTCAAGCCGCTAATGGTAGCCCACTTTGTGAATCTTTAGCACAGAGAAGCACGGGAAAAAATGCTAGAACGATCGCACGCCAATTTTCCAATCGTTCGATGCCTCGGGAACTCGCCACGTCCGAACGACGAAACGGTTCACGAAATTCTTTACCCCCCCAAAAAAAAACATTGCCGGCATGCCGACTCTCTGCGAACGGAATGGAAATCGCGACGAGCCCGTTTTTGACGCGATCTTTCCTTCTCGAAGCGAAATGGCAACGTCAAAACGGGGGCACGCGAAAACAGATTTTAGGGTCAGGCCCTCCGCACCCCCCACCAGCTCGACACAGGAAGCAGACTTCGTTCCGCACCGTTCAAGAACGATCAACTTTACACAACAGAATCACCGCGATGTCTCGTGCGGTCCGAGGGCGATTAGCGACGCAATTACACGCACTCTACGAGCGTAGAGGCGGTCCCAGCACGAAATCGAAAAAGAGCACACGACGACGGTTGCCAAAGCGGGCGAGGACGCGTCGCGGCTACAGAAATCGGGCGCAATGAAGCGATGACGACCTGAAGAATGGACGCAACAGAGCACAATAGAGGAAACATTCAACGAATGTAGGGGGGAGGGGGTGCTTTCATCTAAAACATGTCGTGATTGACACGCGAGGAAGAGAGAGAGAGAGGCTTACGCTGCGTTTCGTCTGGCCTGGACACCTCTTCGGCCGCGGCAGCGCTGTTGGCATCGCGTCTTCGGCCCATAACTCGGCTGTGATGGCTAACGAAAAAGTGCTCTCTCCGAGACGATACTGCCGACCGTCCCGTTCGGATCGCGCTGCTGGACGTACAAGAAAACGCCGAGCGAACAACACGCCGCCGGATAGCGAGGTGGAAGGGAAGAGAGAAAGAGAGAGGGGAAGAAGCCAACGCGGTGGAGGGGCGAAGCGTGACGAGAGAGGGAAGAGAGGAAAGAGAATTGAGACGCGCAAGGTGGTGGTGGACCGACCGAACAAACGAGTAGAAAACGAGTGTGACCAGCACCGAACGGCAAGGCAGCCAGCCGAGCGGCGATTTCCGGCGAGGCTGCTTGCACGGGCGACGAAAACGAAAAGGGGGGCCGACGACCTGCGCTACTGGCACCCCCCCCCCCCGCCCCCTAATCTTGCGCTAGTAAGGAGAGACAAGTATCTATTAGGCCTGATTCAGTTAGCACTGGTAACAGACTGAGCCCTTCCAGCCCATGATTATATCGGTTTCACACGGCCACTTCCGATTGCAATCGGGCCCGAACCCAATCGAAATTCCTCGATCGCAATTGGAGCAAGATGCAGAAGGAGCCTTATCCTTGTTGAGAAATCGCGATGAGCGTGGCGCTGGAGCGAAAGAACACTAAACAACACGTGCCTCGGTCATAATTTAGTCTGCGCTGGTAACAGTACGGATTGGGCTGACTAGCCGATCACTATCCGTAGGTCAACGGTGAGGGAAAAACTGTTTCATCTCCATCGGTAGTCCGCGCAGTTCGGCTATTTTAGGCACGAGTGCCATCGATGTTTATTTACCGTGGAGAGGGTTAGGCAAAAAAAAAAAAAGATAACGGAAGGCGGGGAAGGCTTATTCGTTGCTTCTACGTCACCGCGCCCACGATGATGTTTGTGGTCGTCCCCCTTTGTATCGGGCGGACACCTTGCGGTAGCCTGACCGCAACGATAAAACAAATCCACACGCGAACTGATAAACGCCAGTAGCGGCAGGCTTGAAAAAAAAAAAGAAAAGAAAAAGTCATTTACTCGAACGTTCAATAGCTTCTATTTTACGCATTTT